CATGCACTTTAGTATTAGATAATTCAGCCGATTGCACTATCCAGAAATTGCATAATTAATGTTAAAATATTCACTATTAAATTAATTAATGTATAGACTAACTGCACAAAATAGGAATTAAAAAAGAAAACTTTTTTGGAGTTTGATAAATTCCATTCCTAAAAATGGCGGCCAGGCGGAATAATCCGTGAATAAATTTTATTTACAAATTCTTCCGCCGCTTTATTTTTAATGTAATACGTAATATAGTTCGCTGTATTTTTAGTTCATTTTAGTAAAAATATTGGACATACTGATGATTTTATTTTTTCGAATTGAATAATAGGTCGATGATAACCGATAAAAACCAATCTTATTCCTACGACGGTCCGGAAAATTAGAGATAACTTCGATTACGATAGCTACATCAAATACCACAAATAACAATACAGGACACACAGTGAAAAATTCGGAGACAAGTGACTCATAAATGATATAAACATACACCAATAATGGGTTCGAAGTACGATTGAGCAAATAATTTTATATTATTAATAATGAAAAAAAAAATGACAGAATTTTTACTAATATTTACTAATTTAAATTAGCCTAATATTTATATAATTTTCATTGTTTCCAATTATTATTTCCATTCACATGTAATAAATAAAACTGCAATGAGAAATAAGTTTCCTTTGAATGTACTGTACATATGAATATAACTCATATAATTGACGAATCATTATATAAATGAGTTTATTGTGCTGTAAGATCTGTAATTAAATACATAATTATAAATGTTTCGGTAACTTGAATTGTGAAAACAGTTCTACTTGGTTTTACATATTGGTTTCAGCAGATACAAATAGTGAAATTGAGTAAAGTAACCATTTTTCAGTGGTTTCATTTTCACAAAATTCAAATTATTCAATTCTAATAGCAAAAATTTCCCATTAAAATAGCATAGTTTCTTTCAAGGTTAATTATAGAATAACTTGTAAAATGATATCTGGCCCACGAGTGCCCAAGTAAATAAAAGCACTAATACAAAATAAGAAAGAAAATCATTTAACATCCTGCTACAGAGTATAGAATATACCCAAAGTTAATTCGCTCATGTTAGGAACACATTGAATCAAGAGGGATGATGTTTGTTACACTATGGCCGCCATCTTAATAGCGGCCATATTGAATGCAACTCCGAAACTGTAAAAGGGAAGGGAGTTGTATGACACATCATTTAGGGTCAGAATTTCACAACGAATTGATTGCTAAACGATCTTTTGACCTACCTCAAGCGCTTACAGAATTATGGACGTTACATGATAAGCTCAATGTACATTCTTTGAGTACATTTTATATTCTGTAGCAGGTGACTTTCTTCCCCCTGTAGTTGCGGGTCTGCGCTTGACCAACAGGGTAGTCACGTGGAGTTTTCTGGATTTTCTTCACGTTCTAACGTCTTATAGGTGACAGTTTCTTATAGAAGTTCCTGACGGAAGGTATCCGCTTTAGCAGATTGCCAGATGTGTAGCATTTGTATATGATATCAAACCAAATCAAAATAATTTCTCTTTTATAATGTTTCGGGCGACACAGCCGGATGAACGAGAAGTTTAACGTGTCTACCTATCCTGGAATAAATATGGTCAGATCGAAAAACGATAGGAATTTTTAGGGGGTAGTCCGTCCCAGATGTGTTGGACCCGTTTTTTTTACCACCCATTTTCTCTCATTGTGAGCTTCGTCGAATTCACGATAAGTATAATTATTAATAAAATTGCTTTCTAGATGACATGTTAGCATTTTCTCTGATTTTAAGATTCTAACTTCAACAATAAGAGTCATAAATGTAGGACATGGAATATACGCCTGCGATTTTACTATCGAAAATACAACCTACAACCATTTTAAATCAACACGATTTAGAACACGTTAACATAAAGTTTTGTAAATTAAAATAAAAACGGTGATTTTATTATTTTAAATTTCAATAAAACCTTTCATATTGATAGCCTGCTCGGATTTCAAGCTAATGTATCTTATCTAATAAACATGATTGTTATTTTATTGATCTCTTCTTTTATTGAGATATGCGATTTATGTTTTAAAAGAATTATTAGCTATTTCATTTTATGCCGATATAAAGTGTTAAAGTATAATTGAATAATTCATGCCCTTTTTTCTGCTGAATAAGATGTGTCCATTTCTTAGTGTAATGCTTATTAGAGACATTTTCTGTCCTAACGAATTTCCACTGTGGCAAAAAGCTTAATTTTGAAGGTAGGAATGTGTTTTATAAAAAAAAATAAAAAAAATAAACTGTAAATGCTAATAACGAGTAAAATCGTCAATCCTCCTCGAGATATGACACACGACCCCATTATCTCCCCATCTCTTCGACCTTTAACCACCAAAATTTAATAGCATCAATCTTCCCAATACACGATCATCCTTGAAAATTTCAGAAATTTTCGACAACAAGAACAGGAGTTATTAAGTTTCAAAGAGAGAGATAGAACTTCATTAATTATACTCACTATCCATAATAATTTACATTTAAGCGTTTCAGTTCAATATAGAATCCTTAGTAGAGTTTATACACAAATATTTTTTTATATATTTAAATATGTACAACTTATATTTAGGTTCCAAAATCCAATAGATCTTTGGAGTTCCTGTCGGAACTTTAAGCGCAATACTTTAAGCCAGGGATATATAGTAAAATTTAAACATTTTTAGTAGCTTAACACTTATGTTAGGTATAGTATTTCTTACATCCTACAGATATCCAATGGTTTAACCATGCACAATTTATTAATCTTTGGATATTTGTTGGCTGTTATACTATACCTGACATAAAGGATTATAGAGTTAAAATAATATGAATACAGCTACCCTATTTACGGAAAGTACAGGGTTAAACGTTTTTATTAAAATACTTGTTCAATACATAATTTAATTAAAGATACGATTAAAAAAAATTTATAAAATTCTCTTTAAAATATGGAAATAACGAGGATTTTACAGTACAAGCTAAGATTCAGGAAACAATAAATATCTGGATACCTTTTCACATTAAAAACTGTAAAGATCAGTTATGTTATATCTCTACTATACGAAGAGCTAAAACTGGAAATATTGCCAATAAGATATTTTATAATTATATAAATTTGGCTAATATTTAAATGCCATGTAGAGTTACGCCTATCTAATTATATTATGTAATTATTTAATTACTTTAGATGTTGGTAGGTATTGGAGAATTTTCACTCGCATCACGTAATACGATTTAATGTATATAAAATTTTAATAGACGTGATATAAAATGTAATAAACGAGAAACTAATTTTAATCAATATTTTCATTTAAGCAATAAGATCACTCTTAGTAAATTGCATTAATATTTGTTTAATTAATGAAGAATTAAAGTTAATAATTTGTTAATGTTGATCGATCAATTATTAAGAAATATATAAAATTTTTATCTTAGAATGCTTATACAGTACTTACGTCTTAAGCTATAATTATAAATAATTTTTTTTATTGTTTATTGTTTAATATTACTTTAAATACCTTTAATACTATATAATTTGTCTATTGTGTATATAATTTTTCTCAATTTTTGTAATTATATATGCAATTTTAATATTATGTAAAGTTAATTAAATGATTGATTATTAAACGTGACGCAACGAGATATTAATATTATGAGATCGATCACAATCATGCTTATTACAAGCAGATCTGGTCCTCAGTAGGATCGATCAGCGTGGATAAGGAATGAAGAATACTGTACTTTATATTATTGAGCTTCTCTTTTTGATATTGGAAATAGGCAAAGAATAGTCAATTCTTTACAAATTTTAAATATTAAATCATAATTATTTTTACTGTGTTATATTCTTGTTATGCTTTTCGTAATGTACAGTACATCTCACAAGTTCTCAGTGGAAGAGTATCGAGGTATGTCTTTCATAAGTATTTCACTTAAGATTTTAGTTAAATCTGCACGAAATTAAACATATAACATTTTTAAAAGTAAATTTAAGCATTGCCATTTATTTAAGATAATATAATTAATATAATATGTTAAATAATTACGTTATTTGCATTCGTTATCCTGGGGCATGCTGGACTGTATCAATACCAAAAGATGTGATACTACGCCACTTATTAGCTGAAAATAAAATTAATATACGTATTTTATTATAGTAAATAATATATATATATTATTATACTAAATAAATTAAGAGAAATAAAATTGAAATAAAAAGAAATATCACAATTTTTACGATGCATAACCGACAGTAATAAAATGAATGAAATCTGATATAGATTCTATTTGATTTTCTATTGAATCCCAAATGCTATTAATAATATATATTACTTCAATTATTTTGATATTTTGCTTATACACAGTGGTTATAATTNCAGATGCAGTTTTTTTTTTCCTTTTTGCGGGAAATCGAACATATTTTTAGACCCATCTAAAAATTCTCTAATTAGTCCGGAAACAATGGGACCTAATTCTTGCATTCTGTGAAAACGGGTAAGGTTGACTGTAACGTAATAATCTTAATCTTAGTTATCGTTACTTTTGCCCGAGCAACGCCGGGCCTACCTGCTAGTATATATATAATTGGGTAGCAATTTGAAAAGACTGTAGATCTATAAATTCCCACCATCGTCCGTCCATCCGTCTGTCTATCCTTAATCTCGAGAAGATACATGAAAGTCAAGGCCAGATATGGAACGCTTAGGGGTAGAAGTCCCTGATTAACTATATACGAACTTCCGGTCTAGATCACGTGATTTCAATTCAAAAAGTTTCCCCTGAACGGAGTTACATAGATGACTGGCATGACTCTATTATGATGTACAGGGGCAAGCCACTACTAATTTGAGGTGGAGAACATATATTTTAAATTAAATAAATTAAAAATATGATTAAAAATTGTAGCCCGGCATTGTGACAATGTCATAATAATTTTTGTTCGTATAGCTTTCGTATTCGGAGTGTAATATTAATGACTCCACCACACGTAAAACAAATCTTTTGCCCACTCATGGACTTCATGATATTGTGTATCTAAAAAAAAATAATAAAAATATAAAATTTAATATTCTAAAATACCATAATTTAAGCTTATTTATAACTACTTACCTTCTGTTCTAAAGTCTCATCACTGACGAAAAGATAAAGGTTATAAATGATATCGTAAGGACGATAAGCCTTTAAAACATATATATAAATTTATTAATGTAGATTTAATAAATATTTCTATTGTTTAATTTATGAATAACTTATTTCTACTCACTTCGATCGAGAGATTCGAAAGATAAAATCCAAAAATGACAATAACTCCGACCATTGCTAAAGAAACATTGAAGAGAAAAAATCTTAATAAATCATGAGGTTCAGTAAAGAGTAATAAGTAAACTACCAGACATTGCTCGGGTATGAAAGCAATTATAGTAGTAGAAACTATAAAGCGAAAGTATCTATTTGTGTCCTTCATCATCTTCAATAAATATTTTTGACGTGTTTCGTAATGATTCAATACAAGATGTATATCTTTAGAGGATTCTGTTAACCAGAAATGATCTCTAATGCTCTTAAATCTCATTCCAACATTAGTACATATGATGACCCAGTAAACGAATATTGAATAAAACCCGCCGAAACTTACAGAACTCACAATTAATACAACTAAAGTACACATAAAATCAATTGCAGGTCTTTTAACAGTAACATAGTAAAATCGTCCTAGAAAATAACTTACTACTAAAAAAATTTGAGCCAGGAAAAAAGCGAAATACCACAAATAAAGAGCTATAAGTTGCCTTTTTAAAAGTCTTCGTACAAATGATTCGTTTTTAATTGAAGTTATCCTCCAATAAGAGGTCATACGTGATAAGAAATTATCAGTTCTACAACGGTTTGTAATTTGCACAAGAGCACAGGAATATAAACAAAATATTCCGAATATAAAATAGTAACCAAAAGCACCGTCACCTAATATAAGTGGTAAACTACATAGAGTTTCTGCATTGTTTTCTTTAAAGAAAGTTAAAGTAATGATTACGATACCAGATATTATCAAAGAAACACATAATATCTTTCTGTATATCTTCAGAAATTTTCCATCGTCTTCTCTGGAAACTATAACACCAAATAATAGAACGATCTTCCTGGTAGGTAGAAGTAAACACTCGAAATGATCACACGCAGAATCATTAAGTAATATTCTACGAAAGTAGCTTCTTAATGATCGAAACTTTATCAATTTCATTTTCATCATACTTACTTTACATGTTTACTAATTCTTAGAAAGTTCTAAAACATCATACGTGTAAAATATATACACTTATATAACTGTTTTTAATGGCGATTTCCGCATTTAACGATAAACTTATAATAATGGTAGGTCATCTATAATTTCATATCAACATTATTGATTAAAAATTAATCAATAATGTTGAAAATATTGATTTTATTTTTAAAAAAACTCGATATAATTGGCTACCGATGAGTGTTATCGATAAAAAATTTATAATAAAGTAAAATTAATGCACAAGTGAAATTTATTATTGTATTTTATCAAAGAAAAGTGGTGATATATATCTATATATATAATCGAGACGAGTTGATAATAATAATAATAATAATAAGCGCAGAGCCCAAACGGCTAGGAGTTGAAAGTTGAAATTTGGTACACAGTTAGGGTACGTTACGAGAACGCACACTAAGAAGAGATTTTTCGAAATTCCTCCTCACGGGGGAGAGGGACAGGATTAAGGCTTAACACTTCCATCAACAACGGAAGTTTAAGTAACAATGGAAGTGTCAACAATGGAAGTGTTACGTAACAATGGAATTGTTAAGAGAAAGCGACTTCAAGATGCAGATGCAGTTTTTTTTTTCCTTTTTGCGGGAAATCGAACATATTTTTAGACCCATCTAAAAATTCTCTAATTAGTCCGGAAACAATGGGACCTAATTCTTGCATTCTGTGAAAACGGGTAAGGTTGACTGTAACGTAATAATCTTAATCTTAGTTATCGTTACTTTTGCCCGAGCAACGCCGGGCCTACCTGCTAGTATATATATAATTGGGTAGCAATTTGAAAAGACTGTAGATCTATAAATTCCCACCATCGTCCGTCCATCCGTCTGTCTATCCTTAATCTCGAGAAGATACATGAAAGTCAAGGCCAGATATGGAACGCTTAGGGGTAGAAGTCCCTGATTAACTATATACGAACTTCCGGTCTAGATCACGTGATTTCAATTCAAAAAGTTTCCCCTGAACGGAGTTACATAGATGACTGGCATGACTCTATTATGATGTACAGGGGCAAGCCACTACTAATTTGAGGTGGAGAACATATATTTTAAATTAAATAAATTAAAAATATGATTAAAAATTGTAGCCCGGCATTGTGACAATGTCATAATAATTTTTGTTCGTATAGCTTTCGTATTCGGAGTCAACTTCATGGGACCCTAAATGCTGGAATGTTAGATTCTCAGCACGTTGAAAGGTCCCTACCTCATTTATAATTTGCACAGGGCTGATGCAGGACATTTTTTGCTATATACAGTACCAATCCCATATATTTACGAAGCCTGTATTGAACATAGCTTATATAAATTAAGTATTTTAAAGTTTTAACATGTATATAAGCATATAACAATATTAATAAACAGTTAAAACTTGGACTAGAAATTATCTCCACTTTTCATTATCGTGATCTCTAACAACGTAATTAAATTTTCTTTCCGTTTTCTAAAATAAACATTTATAAATTTAATAAAATTAAAATAACATATAATAATAAGAAGAAGAATTAAGGATAAATTATTTTTGTATGATAATTTATGCGTTACCAAGGTTACACCAACCATCATTAATCGATTAATCATTAAAATTATCGATTATTTAGAAATGTTTTCATATTAATTTCAAGTCGATCACGATTTATAAATGTTCAGCAGGAAACAGGCAAGTTTCTATAAATACAACACTTGTATATATTATTTACATTTTTAATTTTATTCGAATATGTAAGCTATAGTAACGTTAATTAAATTTTCTAACAAATAGCATATTTAGCTTAATTTAAATTAATGATCATTATCATTACTACTACATTTGTTGCTAATTAGATTTAAGAGTTTCAAAACGTAACATTGATTATAATTATAATTTAATTTAGATTAATTTTTTCATAAATTAAATTTTGTATTAGGTTAAAAAAAAAATGCAATAATGTATTTATTGTCGTTCCTTAATATTAAAAAAAAGAAAATGATAATGGAGAATAAAATGAGGCTTAGATCAGTCACAAATGTGAAGAACTCTATAACTTATTGGGCTGCAATTTTCAAAAATTATAGATCTATAAATTTCCATTAGTGTCCATTGTCTGTGTGTCCTTCCTTAATCTCGAGAACGGAGATAGATAGATGAAAGCTTGAGCTTGTGGCTATGGTGGCTTGAAGCTTGAGCTATGTAAAGCTTGATTTAAAAAATATTTTGAATTAAATTAGTTCTAAAATTTTCTCTTGAACGTAATTAGATAGATGACCAGCATGGCTTCATTGTTAACAGGAAAAGAATGATGTACAGAGGCAAGACAAAGCATTGTGACGAATAATTGCAGCCCGGAATTGTTATGATGTCACAATAAATAATTAATATTGTGTTTTAGAATGCGTTTATTTTAATTTTATTCATATATTAGCTACAAGTACCCGCTTCACTGGGTTTTTATTTGTTCGTACAAAAGAAGTGCAGACGCAACCACCTTAGTGCACGATGGGAGACTTGTGGTTACTACCACACACAAACACCATTGATGTGCGATGTGTAGTTTTGGCTGCAGATTGAAATATAGGCACACACATGTCCATTTTTATATATATATATACAAGGCGAGGAATACAAAATCCTTAATTTTATAGATATTAGAACACCACAAGGAGGGTGATAAATGTCGTCCATTGATAGACATTAAGAACTCCATTTTAAACGATTTAGAATTATTTATGAGATAGATTACGTGACTTACCTCATTCTAATTTCACTATTAAAAATGCAGATGAGCTAATAAGTAAAATGGCTAATATAAATTTTAAATCATCATTTAGATTCTTAAGTCTTGACATTGTTTCAATGTGCCCGTCAATAAAAATGGAGCAAAATAGTTTAAAGAATTTAGTAGAAACGTGGTTAAAAAATCTAATAAACAATTGTTATTTTGATAACTATTTTAAACTCGGTAAAAAGAATTTTTAGGCAGATTGAAGGTATGAGTATGGCAACGATTATAGGTCCAAAGCTTGCTGAATTATCTATGTTAGATCTAGACCGAGCTAAAAAAATAAAAATAGTCATCAAAATCAGCTAACTCGTACTACGTACTCGTAACACTTCCATTCTTAACACTTTCATTGTTAACACTTCCATTGTTACACATTTTACAAGTCAACCGCTTTGAACCCCATATCTGTCACACCCTTATAGCTATCGAGACGCAACCATGATAGTGTACAGTACGATGGGAGACTTGGGGCTACTGCCACACACCGGCTTGTGAAAGACGAGAGACCAGAGACAGTGACCAGAATATGGCCCCAGATTTCTTTGCTTACCAAAATAATCATTGTCTTAAATCAATTTAGTATTGTTTAGTCTTTTATGTAAAAGAACGTTGAATCAGTTTTTAAACAAAAAAACAACACAAAATAATTACTTAGTCATTAACTACTTTATAATTGCTGAGAAATCATTATTGAAAGATACATAAACGTTTTTCAGCCTATTTTATAATCCATCTGCAGATACTACCATTTTAGAATATCCTGATTTTAGAATAGGATAACATATTCGAATGTTTACATTTAAATATATTTGAATTTAATCCATTAATACAAAGGTAAGGTGTAAAATCTGCTTCCGAAAAGATATACATAATATAAAGATGAAACGAAACAAATATCTATATTATATATATAAAAATGGACATGTATGTCCCTATATTTCACTTTTTCGCAAAAACTACACATCGCACGTGAATGGTGTTTGTATGTGGTAGTAGCCCCAAGTCTCCATTCGTGCATAGGGGTGGTTGCGTCTCGATAGCTATAAGGGTGCGGGAGATATGGGCTTGAAAGTGGTTGAAAGTGGCTTTCTATTTCGAATGTTTTGTTCG